GGGGGGGGGGGGGGGGGGTACATCATGCACACGCGGCACGTGTTGTGGAGTGGCACAGAAGGGGCTGTTCGGTGTGATAAGATGCTGCTGAACCTGAGACGTTCACTAGTTGTCCCCTTCACAAACCTGCAGCAGTAGTACCACGCTGCATGGCATCTTCATTGCATGCTGGTGACACCCGGCCCGTTCATGTGCCTCATGCCGTGGTGCAATCGTCGAACGGCGAAGGGAAGGGCCAACCGCTGGTACAAAATAGTCCCGCTACCGGGCCCAGAAAGAAAAGTAACAAAACCGATGCCATGTATTCTGCGGCAAAAGGTTTGCCACACCTCGCCTGCAAGGAAACCCAGACGACATCCTCCGGGCCGCCTTCGCGAGGGTATTCTTGTCATCAAGAGGGGGGCTTCGTAGCCCAATAGTCCGAACGTAGCTCCCAACCCACACCGTTTCCCCTACTAAAACCAACCTCAATATCCTCGCGAAGGCCTCGACTGCATCCTGCTTGCCTGTGCTCCACTCCGCGTAGCCGCCTCCAGGATGCTACCTCCTTTGAGATAACTCTCCAGCGCCGGCGGCGGACCGATTCGGATAGCTTCATCGGCGAGAGCCACCTTTGGCGTCGTTGCACGGAAGTCATTTACTTGAATTTTTCAAGCCGGATTGTGGCAGTACATGTGGCAGTGTAGGTTCAAGGCGAAAAGAAACACACAGACTGCCACCACAGGTTCTGCCACTTGAGAACGAGGACTTCATGATTTGCCCTTGGCTAGTGTTTCTTGTTCCTCTGTGGTAGTACGTACCAACAAGGATTCACGTTCTTCAAATTCGAACAAGTTGAACCCGCGCACTGCTGTTGTCTCGTCGGAGCAAAAATCTATTAGACTATACTTCGCGCGGGTCGTGCTCTGTTGTGCAAAGTCCCGTTCCATGGTGATGAACTATCATTGGAGGTTTTGGTCCAAGTTCTCCATCTCTACCGCAAGATACCAACCGTCGCCTATCGTTACGGAAAGATCGCAAACACTAGCAAGGACGCAAGGACGCGGCAAATCTTGAAGGCTTTCAGGCGGAAAGGGCAAGTTGAAGAACAAATCGCTACACATGTCTGGCAGCGTTTGTTCGCGGTTCGCGGTACGAACACACACAACCATGTATGTACCATAAAACTGGATTTACCGCAATCTACTCCTACTGCCCACGTCTTTGTGGTAGGGATGTACCAAGCAAAGGCTCTCAGCAGCGCCGATTCGCAGCGGAGGCATCTCAACTCTGCCTGTTCTTGACTGTTCTTGCAGCAGTCAGGATGCCAGTCCCGTTTAGTCTGAAGCAGGCAGTAGTACTACGTAGTCTACAAAAGCCTTCACAACAGACACGCATGTATCTTTCGCGGAAAAGTGAACATTGACGTGTTCCTTTGGCCTGTACTTGCATGAAGAGAATTGACGTCAGCATCACTGTACACGGCGACCGTGGCCACCCCCATTCGCTTGGCCGTCTTGATGATTCGGCAGGCGATCTCTCCCCGATTGGCGATCAGTATCTTGGAGAACATCTTGTTCGAAGCGGCCGACATTCTCCTCCTTGACACCGCGAACGGAGGAGAACATGCCGACCGCAACCATCTGTTGCCCAGGAAGGCCATGGCCAGTCGATGGGCTTGCCCAGTTAAGACCCGAGATGAATGCTTGGCTGGTATGGGAGGCAGCGCTGTGGCTCGAGACGTGCGCGGAAAAAGTCAGTACTTAAACAGCCAGCCTGAACCTACTCAGAGGAACCCTGCGCTCCAGCTGGGATAACAACCGTAAGAACGCCTTCCTGAAACCGTAAACAATCCACCCCCGTTTCTGCTGCGAAACCCCAACATCACCCCCTCCGCTCTACTCGAGCTAGCGCCCAAGGACGCCGTACCAGGTCATCTCGCGTGGTCAACCAACGCGAAGCTCCGAAAGAGTCGGCGGTCTATGCCTGCTAGTGCGTGAGGCTCTCACGGGCCATGGAAGAGGACGAAGGTGAGCGAGGGACCTCGCGTATCGACCGCCCGTAATCTAGAAAAGTTGATAGCACGTTGCGGGACACACGAACACACACACCTTTATTTTTTTTTTCGTCTGCTGCTGCTGTGTGTCCTGCTCCGTGCCTTGCCTGTGTGTGCTGCAGCTGCTCTGGGCAAGATGATGGAGGAGATCGAGACCAACCTACCTCGATTCGACCAGTGCATCAGGTCAGAAAGGCCCTGTTGCCATTTGAACACGATGCGAAAGGCGCGTCGTGTGTGTGGATTTCAGCGAACTTTTTTTCGACAGCCCGCGGGGAGAGAGAGTGAAACTCCGTCGGACGCGTCCCCACCGCTGAAAGTCTTAATTTTGATTCTCTTCGAAAAATTCAGAAAAATTCAAAACGCGAAGTACGAAGTAGTATTTCTCTGTCCTTCCTCCGCGAGATCCAACAGCGGCTGTTTGATGGGGATTTGGGCCGGTGTGAGAGATTGCACGCGTGAGTGTGGAGATGTGTTCCGGCCGGTGTTAGTCAGCAGCCGCAGCAAGAGAGGATTTATTGTACGGTTCAAAGATCCACGGTAGACGTAATTGCGGCGGCGAATGCAGCAGGAAATACCCCTCCTCGCAGCAGGTGGTCCGCTGCTGTCGGTCGCTGGTAGGTGTGTATGTATGTATGCATTAGGAAACGTAAATGTATGTATTTATTTATCTATGTTCTGTGTAATAACGGAAAGACATGGCAGTGTTTTTGTTTAAGGTGAATCATGTCCCAGTCCTTGTTTGACCCAACACATCGACGTTGTTGTTGCCTTCCATCGTTGGGTTGACGAAATGTCGATATATATGTGGTTCGGTCCAATTGGTGTGGTATGCATAAGCATTTACGCATATTATGTATCCCTTGCTTGGTCGTCAAACTTTGAAATGTTGACGACGAGACAACCCAGATAGATACCCACAAGAGGAAGGGACTAACAAACCCAACTCGGTACGGTACCGGAGGGCATTTTCACCTCCGTTTCTTGCATCTCCCCCCGCCCCGTGATTTGGTCGGAATGCCCTCGGAATGCTCGCCCGGTATATGCATACTCTTAGCGTTTTTAACACCAACTTCACAAACTCGTGTGACTAAAGTGGATGACGTCAAACAATGAAAAATATGTCATGACGCGCGAAGCAGCTTGCTCCAGGCGGAGATTGGCGAGATCAAGGCCGGGAAGCATGACCACCGCCTGCGCGAGGTGGCTGCCACGCCCGTCCCGGACCCCAATCTCCACTCGGCCCTCACAAGCGCCGTCGAGGGCGGGCTGCAGCTCCCGGAGGCTCCCAGGCTTGGCGACAGCGACAGCGAAGGAGGAGATCGAGAAGAGGAGGAAGGGGGGGGGGGCGGGGNGGGCGGGGAGGATGAAGAACGAGAGGGCCAAGGTGAGGACGGTCAGGTGGAAGGGGAGAGAGAGGCAGAGGACGATTCGACGGCGGGAGGAAATGGATCGGGGCGGCGACGGCGTCACCCAGAGCACGTGGACGGGGATTCCGGCTCGAATGGAGGGGCGCATCGGCGAAGTGGGAGTGTGTGTGGGGGGGGGAGCAGCACGCCAGTCACGATATCGGAAGCAGCGGCAGCCACTACGGCAGCGAAACACCCGAAAGGGAATGGAGACCGACCTCCTCCTCTTCCGGCAGCAGCAGCGCCGCCGGCGGCTACAGCGGCAGCATCGAATCCCGAAAAGCACAACCGCGACATTAGCAGCAGTAGCAGAAACGACGGTGCACCAGGCCAGAATGGGGCATACGGCAGCTCCTATGACTCCCCGTTGCGGGATCGTCCGCCAATACTCTCGGGCGGCGGTTCAGCGTCGATTCGTGCTGCTTCGGCTAGCGGGGCGGCGGACGATAGCGACGGTAGCGGTAGCGGTGACGAGAGGAAGGCGACCGGTGGCGGCGGGGTGGATAGAGGTAGCAGCAACGACTCAGCGGGCGGCGCAGCGGCGACACCCGCTGTTGGGACGCCGGGACCGAAGCCAGGGAAGAAGTCAGGCACGGGCGGCGGTAGGGCCAACCAACAGGGGGAAGACACCGAAAGTAGCGCAAGCAGCAAGCGCGGGCGCAAGCGGCCGAGGGTTTTGAGAGATGGGTTCATGGAGCAATCGGCTCGCGATAGGAGACCGCGCTCGAAAGGGTCAGAAGGCGAGGAGCAGGAAGAAGAGGAAGAGAAGAAGGAGAAGGGGGATGGGAAGAGGAGCGAGGACGGCCTGGAGGAGGAGCAACGGAAGAAGGAGCGAGCGGACTCTATAGATGCTGCCCATTTCCGCCGAATCGCGTTGGAAGTGTGGGATCGAGTGAGTGCTTTTCGTTCTGCCCACCGCCCCCGGCCAAGGGTCCCGGGATGTGCCGGGCCATGTCCTTGCTGTTGTGTTTTGCGTGACACAACGTTCGGCTCCTTTGCAGCGGATTGTGTCGTTACATTAGTAGCACCAGGAGGCGTTTCCCGCGGGGGTTGAGATGGGGCCCTGCGTCCCAAGGCTTCAACCAAGTTCCTCCGAGCACCGTGGAAGTACTGCTGGACAACACTCTTTTTCGACGTTTCATTGTCGGATTCACATATCGGTGGATGTCATCACACGGAACTGATTGACAGGAAATGGTTGGGTCCAGAAGGCCGCGTTATCCGGCTTGCCCATCAAGCCCTCAATCCTCATTGGCATTTTCGATTCCGCAGGTGTACAGGCACAAGTTTGCCATCATCTTCCGAAAGGCCGTGAATCCAAAGGACGCACCCGGTTACGAGGAGGTGAGTGAGGCGATGTAGCACCGACAGCAAGTTACATCTCTTCCACGCGGTCTTCCTGATTTTCTGACGGGCAAGTGCAGAAAGTTTGCGGCTGTGTCGTGATGCGGACTCAGCAGTCTGTTTTAGCGTGTTTCTGATTGCGCACATCGCGGAGTAATACTGTATGCATAGGTTCGGTTCCTTCTCTGGTGATGCTCGTAGTCGTTTTCTCGTGCTTGTTCATAATGTGGATTTCTGCGGTTGGTTCTTACCATGAAACGACGGTTTGCCGGACAACCTGTTTGTGGTTATTAATTTCTCCATCCAGCTTTTTGTGTTTGTCTAGCTGCGTGGTCGATGCACCTACGGAGTTTCGCTCGTTGCCTGCCCACGCTCGGTGTTTTTGGCCTAACGATTTCCCACAGATCATCAAGGAGCCCATGGATCTCTCTCTTATCAGGGAGCGCATCATGTCAGGCGCCCTCTTGTCATTGGACGACATGAGCCGCGATCTCTGCGTGATGTGCAACAACGCGATGGTGTTCAACGGGAAGGACGACCCATACTTCGACTACAGCAAGGTGCGAGCACATACAAAATCATGAGCGTTTGAGCTTGCTCTCATTCTCGAGACCCTTGTTGTTTACTCATCTCCACATCAAAACCGGTCCTGACCCTGGTCTCCGCATTTTCTGAAAACGCCGTTACCTGTCCAGCAGGTGCAAAGTATAACGAGCTTCCCGTTGACACACACAAGAGGTACATCTGGCTGACAACAAAGCGTTTGTCTTAATAGGCCAAATGAAATGTGCTCCCCGCTCCGCCTGCACCCATGCGTTGTTGCCGGCCCGTTTCCGCTGCCACCAGGAACTACGAACATACGCGAACGAGGTGATCGAAGAGGCGAGACGACCGGGCTTTGTGACCGCCGATCCGGGCTTCGACAGCGTGGTCGCCGGCGCCCGCACGTCCCGCGCTCGACAGCCGGACCACGCTTCCCGCGGCACGAGCGGTGGCAGCTCGCCTCGCGGCAGGGGAGGGCAGAAAGGAGGAGGAGGAAGTAGCGGGCGCAGGAACTCTAGAGAGTCGGACTCGGCGTCGGTGGCGGACGACACTGGCGACGAAAGCGTCAAGAGCGGCCGGCGCGGTGGCGGCGGCGGCGGCGGCAGCAGGACGGTGGTTAGAAAAAAGGGCGGGCGGGGCGGGGCAGGGAGGAAGGGTGGCAAAGCGCAGGCCGTGACGACTAGCAGCGGGGTCGAGAGTGACAGCTCTGGCGAAGAAGACGACGATGACAACAACGACGAGGCAGAACAGAGCTCGAGCGCGAGCGACGGCGGTGGCGGTGGCGGTGGCGGGGGTGCGGCGGAAAGAAAAGAGAGGGCCGGGAAGAAGCGCAGGGCAGTTGGCAAGGGCAAGAAGCGGACGCGGGAGAGCACGGACGATAGCAGCGATGACGACCACAGGTGAGAGAGAATCCTCACGTGGTGTCTTCAGTTAATGACGTTTCGACGCGAAGAGATTGATTGGTGTGGGATTTTTTTGGGAACGTGTTCATGTTTGCGGCATTGCACTAACTTTCGTACGGTGCGCACACATCATCTTGAATGTTGACAAGAGGTTGTTTTGAGGTGGTCGTTAGATTTATGGATATGGTCGTGAGCTCTTTCGCGAATATCTCCTGAAAGAGCCCCAGTGTACTGGGGTCGTGTAGCTTTTCGTGCTCCCCTTGGGTATCATGCTGAACGACAAATCGATCTCCCGCGATGGTTAAGTCTAGAGGTTCAACATGCACCTCATCTGTGGTAGGTTTAGGCCTGTGGTAGAACGCCGAGCGCCCACCTATGACGTACTCGAAGAATAACATGTGGCCCCGTTTCTTCCGAGCGATGTTATCGATGATCCCATTTGAGGACGAATATGCCGGATCTCTGCTTCCTTGTGTTGCGTTCGTTGTCCGGGCATTGATGTGCTGGGTGGCGTCTTCCGCTGAGCCTCACCAGTGCCTGCCGTTCGTTGAATCCCTACCGCGTCGCAGCAGCAGCAACCGTGGGAGGAGCCGCAAGGCGGTCAAACCACAAGCGAAGCAAACGACAACGTCGAAAGCGCGCGCCAGCAAGAAACGCACAAGGTAGTCGCCGCCGAGAAGACCGGCATCATGCGGTTTGCGCCGCACGATCATGGACGTTGGCGCGGGGTCCTCATCTCCTTGGGCAGTCCAAAGAGCGCTCTGGCTCCAAAAGGGAACTGGGAGCTCCTTGTGCTCGCCCTCCATTTTTCGTGGGCTTGGTTTGACTGCTTTGTAGACAATGTTGGCGTCCTCTCATTCTCGTCGAGAGAGTCAAGTCCTCGTTTTTGTTATCGGGGCAGTAAATAAGGGGACAGGGGAGAGATGAAATACGCCGCACGCGTGTGCCGGGTCTTCGAATGCGGTCTAACCATTCCCCGCGAGAAGACTAGTGGAACAGTTGTCACGACCATGGACGACCGCTGTTGGGACGTCCAGCGCTGGGATATCGGTCGAAGGTGACGATCTGCAAGCCTCGTACCTATGTAGCTTGTTTACGTTCGTTGTAGCTTGCACACCTGACCCACCTCTGGCCAGCGGCGTGATTGCAGCAGTGCCCTTTCAGCAACTGTGTGTGCGTGTGTGTGTGGCATGATGGTCGAAGCAACTCCGCCACGCTTGCACCAGTACAGCATGCACGTCTCACCGTGCTCAAGTTTGCAACAACAGAAAAGGGGGAGGTGATATTTTCGTGTCGGCCAGGTCTAGTATCTATAGAAAACAGAGAGGGGTGGAGGGTGGGTGAACCGCGGCAGTGTAGGTGAGAGAGTGTCCGCCTTTACGCGTGAGAATAGCCCATGACAAATATGGGGTTGATTTTGAGCTTGCCGAGAAGGGTGAGAGAATAAAGTGTGGAACTACCGAATCTTGCAACAGCTAGCTGTGGTTGCACTGTACAGGCGCGACTCAAAAACATCTGCTGTTCGTCGAGTTTGTTCGTGGAGAACATACACCGAACTGTGTCAGGTCACGTCCAGAATACATGGTACGACACACGCTCACGCGGTCAGCCGGTTGGTACCGTGAATGACCCGTCATGGTTATAAGGGCCTACTTTCGCTTGCTTTTGTGCTTATTACGGGAGAACTTTCTCACAGAATATAGACTAAAAAGCAGTTTGGCACCGAATACTTTTCTGAAAAAACAAGACTCTCCACGACTACAGAGTGAGTTTTTTCTCGTGGGCCCGGTTTAGCGGTCCACAATGTCACGAAATTTTATAACGGCTATTCAGGGCATCGCCGCTAAATAAACCACTTTAGCGGTCACCAACCGCTGAACCAGGAGACGCAATAGCGGTCATGAACCGCTCAACCGGGAAGAAGCCCATTTTTGGCCTAGAAGAGCAGCGTCGAGAGCTCATCTCGATAGGGCCATTTGTCTCATTGCAGCAGTCATACGAGGTGCACGTGAACAAGTAACGAGCCAAATAAGGACAACGTCGAAAGCACATTCATCAATAGTGCATTTGTTTTAGTTCGCCAAAGCACAAAGATTATTCTCCCTTCTTCTGGACTGTATGCCCCTCATCAAGGCTGGAAAATCGTTCGCGTCTCTAACGAAGTGAAGGTGATGAGACGAACTTGTGACAACGCAATGGCAATCAACCAAGTGCTTGCCATGTGTCTCATTGCAGGAGTCATACAAAGGTGAACATGAAGAAGTAACGAGCCAAATAAGGACAACGTCGAAAGCACATTCATTACTGTGCAATTGTTTTAGTTCGCCGAAGCACAAAGATTTTTCTCCCTTCTTCTGGACTGTATGCCCCTCATCAAGGCTGGAAAATCGTTCGCGTCTCTAACGAAGTGAAGGTGATGAGACGAACTTGTGACAACGCAATGGCAATCAACCAAGTGCTTGATTGAGAATCTCATTTCTTCTGCCATGTGTCGCGTATCGATCATTCTTAACCCAAAATAATCTTTCTGTTATCTGCCTTGCGCGCTGGAGGAGCGGCGTGCGCTGCGAGGAACGCCATTTTTGCCTCTCGAAAGAGTGTGTGTGCTGCTTCGCTTACGCCACACGACCCCGCGCTCTCCCCGCTGGCGAAAATCCGATGATAGCTCCGAGTATGGTGGCGGCGCCATCACCCCGCTGCCCTTCGCACCGTCAACTTGTGACGTGGTATCTAGACCTAGGTCTAGGTCGTCGTGTCGTTGTTGGAGGGGTTAGGCCCACCTCCATGTACATACTGGACAACTTTTCAACAACCTCGTCATTCGCGTTTTTTTATGCAAAGCTTCATGCAGCGTTCTCTTCCTGTGCGCACTATTTCTGAGTGCGCTACCTGCTGGTCAAGAAGCTTCAAAAACTCGAGCTTCCAGCCAAAGTAGAGCCGCGTGTGGGGCTGTTGTTGTGTAGCTGCAGCGCGAGATGTTTCTTTCCGAGCGCCTGGTGCGAGAAAGCCACCTTCCTCCTCTTGGCGCTTGGTCGGATTTGAGAAGTGAGGGGAACTCTGCGCCTTCTTGGTTGCACGCCGGTTGCATCTCGTTGTCATCCGGATCCTCCACCTCCCCACGCATGCCGTGTATGCGGCCGCCACAGCAACCTTTACAATCGTGCGCGCCGTTTGGACTCAGTGCCGCATCTAGAAGCTTGCAAAGTTCTCTATTCATGCGCCGCATGGTGTGTCTTCATTATAGTCTAAGCATCGACCGCGCCAACCGGTTGATTGACTAATAGAAAGACGTCGTCGTCAGTCTCAGCGCGGTTGAAAACACGAAACACTTGTATAGTCTATGTATGTCATTGACTGGGATGCCGTGAGGGGGCAGCATGGGGCAGGCAAAACCTTTTCCCCGGGTTAAGGACAGAAACGGTAGCAACAGAGGAAAATGCTAGTCGAAGTGGAGGAAGGGGGCCAGAGGGGCAGACGACAGAGTCCAATGATTGGATACAACAACAGAAAAAAAACATACTTCTGAAGTACTATATTATAGACAATGTATGGTTGATGGCATTTTCATCCCGATCGGGTGCACAAAAAGCGATATGTGTAGTCCATTTGTTACGATGTCTTTTTTTTGGCTTTTTTTAGGCTGTCTTTTTTTCGAAAATGACAACTGGCCAAATAGCCCCGTGTTAAAACGTCTTTTCTTGCTAAAATATGACAACGAACCTTATTCGACAGCCTATTACACGGGGCCATTTGGCCAGTTGTCATTTTTCGAAAAAAAGACAGCCTAAAAAAAGCCTAAAAAAAGACATCGTAAGAAATGCCCGTAGTCTGTAATCTACATAGAGGAAGAATAAACTTCGCAGCCACATCCTTTACAATATCTACATGAAGGTTTTACAGCAGCATTAGCAGTGTGCGATCCATAGCTAGCTGTGACCTGCTCTCATCATGGTCAAGCTCTTTAGTATCGATTTTGAGCCTGTATTTCTGACGAACTACAAGTTGGTAGCGTCCAATGTATGTCAACACTTGACGGACAAAGCAGTGCTCGCCACAACATGTTGAATGCAAATTATGTCATGAGTGTCCTATGTGTGGTCATCATGTGTTTACTCTCGCGAAGCATTACTCCCGAGAAGCATGAAAATGATCCACGAGCGCGGCGGTCAAAAAAAGCAGAAATACATCCGTACATCTCGACGAACGACAATGGAGAACATACAGGAACGCGCGCTGAGATACCAATGTAAATGGTGCATGTCCTATGCTGTTCGTGAACCAGAGTGTGTGTCTTCTGTTGAGTCAGCGCGCACCCATCACACAGAGCAGCAGGGCAAGATCACAGCTGGCAGGGCGACCTCGTGCGATCGTGCGATCTCCACGCAACAGCAAAAAAAAAAATTAGGACCAATCCCATTTGCGGGGCCTCTCATGTCCCCTCATCCCTGAAGGCGTTACGGCAAGATTTTCATGCAACCTGCCTCACCTTCCCGCGTGTACGAGCCGACCGTGTTAGTCTCCGCTCCTCTACAAGTCGACATAATCCACGAACACCATGAAGTCTGCCATCGCTGCTCTCGCTCTCGGTGCGGTTGGGTCAAACGCGTTCGTCACCCCCAATGCCGTTGTGGGTCGCGTCGCATCCAGATCCGCACGACAGGTACTCGCGAATGTGTCCCCCATCCTTCATCTGACTTGACACTTGTCTGTTTGCCAATGGCGTGTTCTGTTGAATCTCCTGTGGCGTGGACTCAAGAGCGACTTCCCCGCCCGTAGTATGCGTGGTTGTCTCTGGGCATCATAGGTGTGAGGTCTGGTTTGGTGTGTCCTTGAGTGTACCCGTGTGAAGGCTATGTGGCCACAAAAGTGTACCAAGTATTTCGAGGTGGTCAACATGAGCCCCACGGCAGGAGACGAGGGAGGGAACAATAGGCAAGGAGCGCTGTCGTCACCTTCGCTGAAGTTGCGAACTCGGCCACCCAGGCCAGGCAGGCGGGAAGGGGGGAGGCGGAGCAGCAGGGAGAGGCTCTACCGATAGCCCGCGAGAGTCATTGATCACTTGACGCAAATCGTCAACAGGTTGCATGCATGACACAAGCATGCATACTTTTTTAGCTCTTGTGAAAAATGATGTGGCTCGGGACACGGGACATATGAAGTTGTAGTGTACATTGCATACGTACCTTTTTTTCGTTTTTGGAGGCATTTTTCTCCATGTGTAAGCCCCAAGCACCGAATGTAAGACCCCTGTTGGCTCGACCTCAATGTGGATAGCACGGAGGGCGACCTGAGAGAGGCATCTCTTGGTTGTAAACACTATGCTGACTTTTCCACTGCCATCGCGCAAAACCCGATCGCTTGCGTTGGTGTTGGCTGGCTACCCGGTGGCTCAACTTGCCGCCAACAGGTGTCGATGGCCGCTGACCCGGACGCATCGATCGCGCTCCCTTTCACGCCCCGGCCGGAGAACCTCACCGGGGAGCTCGTGGGCGACGTCGGATTCGACCCCTTGGGTTTCTCGGAGGAGGTAAGAAAATTTCGCATCTTGACTCAGGGGCGTGTATTAATGAAGTTTCAGTGTGTTCAGTGTGTCTCCAGATGGAGTGATGTGTAGCTGGCCTCACGCTTGTCCTCAAACATGACGCAGCCATCCCCTATTGGAGGGACCGACAACTGCTGTGCCACACCCACACGCAATATGTATATTTTTTCACGTGCCAATGTGTTTGTTTCGTGATGTGTGGACGCAGCACACAAAACCCACGTAAAAAATCCTGCGCCTGTTACGAGAAAGGATACTGCTTGTAGCTCGTTGTTCCCTCTGGAAGCATACAAAATGGCAAGTGAACACAGCAGCACCGGTGGTCCCGATCGTAAATTGCTGGACTCTTTTAGACTTTTGATCAGGCCGATAGCAGACACTATTCTTGCACACTCGCCCTCGGTGGGAACTTAATACCTGACTTTTGGCTTCAGCAGGTACTTGTCTGGGTTCTGTCCTGTATGTGTTTCACGGGTACGTCTCGAACACGCACAAGAGCCCGGCGTCCAGCCTCATTCGATACTGTTCGGGTTCGCATGTACTTCAACGCCGTGTCCCATGCCGAAAACTTGTACATGTATTGAAAGGTTAATTGTAGCACCGAGAATCCCATGCAGGTGATACCGCGTTGGTATATCCAATTGCCGGCACTGCACCTGTTCCTGTCGCGACAGAAGTTGCACAAGATTCGCCTTCGTGCCACTATATTAACCTTCAGTCATCAGACAAGCGCCGTCAATTGTACGCGGAAGTTATGTGGCTATCATAAAACGAATGCTGGGCATGACTGCTGTAAAAGAGCGAGTTGGAAATGTAGTCGATCCTTCGGTCGCCCACTCCCAAAATGTGAAATGCAGTGCATGTGCGGAGCTTGCGATTTCGGGCGGCTGTTGTTTTATGTCCGTACTTTGCGCACACGACTCATCCAACGGTCAACTTCTCTCCGGAGAAATAACACTTCTTCAGTTTGTTTCCCTCCCCTTCCCACCAGCTGCTGGTCAGATATATGCAAGTGTAAACTTAGCGTATGCGATTGCCACACTTTCCCGTGAGCATGGTACATGTACAAGCACACATGTGCTCATTCCGGCCTGTCCCGTAGAAGCACGATGTCGTGTAGCTCGAGCGCCGCGAGAGCAAACGTGGTATCCTCCTCTCACGGATTAACGCGTTCTTGTTTTCTCTTCCGGTGGCCTTGCATGCACCGTGTGTTACGAGGTCGAAGAGTTCTTTATGAACAGAACAGATGCCGGCATCCTCTTTACGCGCAACTCCCGATTTTTGGTTGAGGTACAATTTGAACGACACAAACGGGCCGCCAGCATGTATTTGCATGCTGACGAAATGTGGGTCACAGTTTGAGGGGCGCGGTCTACACGCCAATCGAATGGACAAAAAAAAAGCATTGGTGTGCTACTGTTGCTTTCGCGGTGAGGTCATTGCACAGCATCTTGATTCAAACAAATTCGTCGTAAGTCAGAGTGTACTGTCAACACCAGCAAGGAACACTTACCGTTTTTGTGTGTTGTGCTGAGTCACAAAATGTTTCGGTCTTGGGCAAGACGTTGTGTGTACCCCACGAAATCAGTTGTGTACCCGCCGGACCAGACTGCAGAAGGAAGAGCAAGGCTTGGGCCTCGGTGCGCACCCTCGGTCATTGCACAAGCCGTCGCGCTGCGACACGCAGAATTTCGTTTCTCCCCTCGTCGGATTTTTCACCCGAAATTTCCTGCACTCGTAAAAATGGATGTGAGCCTGTGTCTTGGTTTCGTCTGCGCACGGACGAGTAGTTATCTACCCTTCGCCGAATTTGGTCAAGCCATAGACCAACGTAGTCATTTCTGCGCCTCTTGTTTTCGAGGAAAACACCGCCTACAGCATCAAGACTGTATTGCATCGAACTCCAAGTTGTGTCCACGACGCAACCACCGCTATGTTCGGGCCTGGTGGAAATTTGTGCAAGAGCGACTTTTGGCCCGGTCTCGTTGATAATTTCCTCCAGTACCCCGTCGCACAAAACACCACGTGCCACCTCACTATCCCCCCCTTCCCCCTCCCAACATTAATGGCATGCTTATCTGTCTTTCACGGCAGGGCGACCTCGCGAAGTACCGTAGGGCGGAGCTTAAGCACGGGCGCGTGGCCATGCTCGGCGTTGTGGGCGCCATCTGGCAGGAGTTCAACGTGCTTCCCGGGCTTGGCTACACGCCGACAAAGAACTTGTTCCAGGCCGTGGCCGACGCGCCGTGGCTGGCAATCCTCCAGGTGGTGGTGTTCGTGGGCATCTTCGACCTCCAGAGCACGAAGTACGACATGGAGCAGGGGCGCGTGCCCGGCGACATCGGGTTCGACCCCCTCAAGCTGTCCAAGGATGGAATCAACGAGAAGTGGGCTCTCTCCGAGCTCAAGCACGGCCGCCTGGCCATGTGGGCGATGGCGGCAATCCTTGTGCAGCAGCTGCTTGTGCCGGACAAGTCTCCCCTCGAGCTCACCTACGAGTGGTCGACCCAGTTCCACTAATCTATTTTTTAATGAGGAATCGAACCCCCCCCCTCCTCTCCCCCTTTTTAGGTTGTGTCAGGTTTATGGGGCGGGGATGGTAGTGGTTTTGTAGCAGCCTCAACCTGCCGTTCCTTTCCTCTCTTTCCCCACTCTGCGTCGTAACGAGTTGGTTTGTCTCTTTTTTTTTCCTGGTGCTCACACGCGAGTGTGTATTCTGAGGTGGTAGTGGGCCGCACGGCACGACTTCTGCAATACAGGGTGTGTGCGCTTTTGCTTTTCGTGTGTCTTCTAGAACTTTACGATTCGTAGATGGGAACCTTTGTTTTTCTACCACGCGCCCGTGGCCTGGGAGTTCTGGCGTAGGGTACATCTCCCACCGTAGAAGAAGCCAGGGCGAGCGCTTGTTGCGTTGTGGAATACTGACGTGCATTCCAAACTGCATCAGCGGTTGAAACAGATTGATCCCACACGTGTGGGTGGTTCTTGCGCGAAGTTTCTCCAAGTGTAGATTCTAGAGCTCGCGGCGGCGAATTCCGGGCTACTACGTTCGTTAAGTGGGAAACTCAAGTTTTCTAGCAGGTAGAGGGCGTGCCTTCAATCCTTGCCCGCTGTTTAAGCAGACGCGGTGGTTGAACGCGAGACATTTGCATCCAGCCGTGGTGCGGTGTTGTCTGCGTGTGTCACTCGTGTCTCCGCACTAAACTTTATAGCAAACACACGACACATCTTCCTTGTTTTTTCTTCATGGGATGCGTCTCGGCCAAGTAATTTTGTCGGCTTGGTTACCGAGGCAGACACAAAGGGAATTCGGGACCCCCAACGAATGCCCGCTCTCCGTTGTCCTTTTGCTTTAGTTCTCCGAGCGCAATTCACTGGGGAGCTCGTGCTAGGCGCTGCTTTGTCTGAGGGTGTCACCTGCGGCGTCTGTTTTTGTCTAAATAGACTACTACTGACTAGACCAGTTGAACCTGCTTTGCATATTTGTAATCACTTTCAACAGATGACGGGGCTGAGGGTTAACACATGAACTTTGTACCGCTGTTGGTTTTTCCACTGCTTCAAAAATTGGTTGTTCGCGCATGCTCCTGCAGAAGTTCGTGCCATGAAACCTGAGCGAGCAAAGCAAGGATGCAGTAGGAGGAGTACGCACATGACCATGTCTTCAAAAGCGCCGAACTCATCGTGAAAAAAAAACGGCTTGTTCTGCCTTCGGTCTGGCGAATACCTTTTGAATGTCAACACTGCCGTGCTGCCTCACACACGGCATTGATGAGTTATCACCGTTAAACGCACTTTCTCTCACAGCAGTACTTCGAAGTGGCACTGAGTGGACTTCGTTGAATAATACTAATACACAGCAGCAGCAGCGCAGTAGGAAAACATTTTTTGCTGGAGGAGTTCCTCGCTCAACACCACCTCGACAAAAAATCTCATCTTCGCTAGTTTGCAGTAACGGATATTCGCCGTTGATGTTGGTCGCGAGGAAGAACGATGGACTTAACTTCGTCGCTAGACCTGTGAACGTCATGTATTTCATCCTACCGGAGCCCACGAGAAGAAAGCAATGGAGGTCGCTGCTTTCGTAGGAGTAGAACTTCACTCGTGACACGTGTTTTTTTCCTTTTTCTCCCAATACGAAACATGCCTTCGGTCGTTTTTCCACGGAAAGGGGATCATCGGAAGGTCTCCGGAACCGAGCTGTCGAGCCGCTCACGGCACGTCACACACACGCCCGGCAATTACTATTCGGCAAGAACTATCTCTGTGAACGCTAGGAGAAGATGAACAACTTGCGCATATTTACCCAGAGGGCATCCAAGGTGAGTGCAGAGCTTGTTCTTTGCGCGCTGGTCGCCTTGCTTGTGTATGCTGTCCATCATCGGTTGTCCCACAAAGAACACGCAGCTTATTCTAGCAGCACCGCTTGTTGCTGTGCACATCGATCACCCACGGAACCTGAGGACATAATCGCCGTGCAATTGCATTTGCTGCTGCGCACACCCATATGCGTGTGCACGCGTCAGCCTCTCGGTTGTCTTGAGCTTCCTTTGAGGGATTGCCATGAGATACCCATCGATGGGAAGGGCTCTCAAAACCCGGTGCACACAGCAGCGAGCGGTGCAGTGCAGAGACCCGTGGACCATTTTATAACGTGACATCACACATGACACAACCAACACTCTTTTTCCGATACACACTTGTTGGCAGGGTGCCTTCCGCAGCCTTGCCGGCGGCGAGAGGTCGCTGTCTACCCTCAAGAACGTGCTGGCAGAGCAAATCCCGGCCAAGCAGGCGGAGCTCGCCAAGCTCAAGAAGGAACATGGCCACAAGTCCGTCGGAGAGGTGGGTCATGCCAACCGGTCGCGTTGTGCATATGACGAACCGCAACCAGCTGTGAGCGCTTTCTCCCGCCCATCCGGCAGCCGCATTTCGCCCAAGGACTGATCATCCCCGTCGGCCTCCCCCCCCCCAGCACCCTAGGAAGCGCTGGGCTTGACCATCAACCATGCCGCAGCGTGGGTGTCCACTGCTGTGCTTTCTCACCGCCAGAGGCACTCCCGTGTGTTGCTCTTTGTCTTGTCCCTTTGCTGTATCGCATGTAGCACTTCCGACAAAGTAAAGCTTCGCTTCCCCGACGGACCATGCCCACACGCCCTTCTCGAGCACCGGCGGCGGCGCTGGCTGGAACCAACCGCCCTGAAGCATTGAGCGAGGACGAAACAAGCTCTCATACCGCCAAGCCTAAGCTCTTTCAGCTTGTCGCGCCCGTTGCGTGTACCTCTGTCCGCCCTTCACCGTGCCCAACGACTACCGTTCACTAAACGACACCTGTAGTAAGAATACACCGCCGTTATATGCCATCGTCCGCGTGTCTCAGGTCACGATCGACCAGGTCATCGGAGGAGCTCGCGGCATCAAGAGCATGATCTGGGAGACATCCAACCTCGATGCGGATGAGGTGAGCTGATTAGGTGTGTGGTGGTGGTGGTGGTGGTGGGCGCTCTTCACGCGGCAGTGTAGACGCCTCGGGCCACGGCTGGTGTGCGGAGAGATGCGGTGGAAACACGACCACTTGGTATTCCTTTAGTTTTCATGTTGCGCAACAACTGCGAAGAGCCGCAGCAGGTGCGTTTCAAACTCGAAGTTCCTGGGAACATGTGCCATTTCCACGAATTGAGCTGTGAAAGCCGGGAGGGAATTCCCGTACCACGACCCGACTGGATATATATTTTCCGATAAATTGTGCAAGAGGGCATTTTGGCTCGGAATAATTGAGGAACGGTCTGGTTGTACCTCAACGGGCGGCGCCACCTCCTTGAGGGGTCAGAGAGCTCGCTTTAGAGGCCACAATCACGCCCAAACACACACCCTGTCGAAACACTACCGACTACAAGTGCACGAACGGCGGCTTGCACCGAACGCAAGCCAGTGCGACCTCTGCCTCGGGATTCCGCCCCTCCTCCCGCGTCGTCGGATACCCGAGCGAGTATGAAGCGTTTTTCGGCAACGGCAGCCAGCTGCGGCTCCAACGGCCCCACGCACTCTCCTACTAAAAAAAAAAAAGCAACGGCGATCAGAAGCGAAGAACGACAGGGGAAGGACACGATCGGTCTAGGTCTGTAGCCCCGGAGGTTTCAGGACGCGACTGACTGTTTCTTCATACTCGATTTCATCCATATCCTCTCCGTCCGTTTTCGTCGGGAATCGATCGAGACGTCGCTTCAGTGTTAAAAGTGTAGTTGTACCTGTAACCCTCCATGGACTAGGCCCCATGGTTGAGGAAATGGGCCTTGCGTGCCTGGGTTCGTGCTGTATGTGCTGCAGCCTACCTTGCGTCTGTGCCTGCAACAACAGTTGCGCAAAAAGGTCGGGCGAACGTCTTCTGTAGGGCTATCCAAAAGCCTCTCCGCGCCCGAAAAAGGCGGCAGTGTAGTTTTAGACAAGTTGGCGTGTTTTCTAGGAGATTGCCTAAGCAAAACACCGAAATGTAACAACCTCTAAACAAAAAAATACCGAGCACCCGGGAGTGTCTAGCATGTCTTGCCTCAAGGAGAGGTCGGCTCTGAAAATGAAAACGAGTACCCCATGTCAATCCACCCTGGGTGCCAGCGGCGGGCCTAGGACTGCCCTGTCTTGAATAGGTGCTGTTTCGATCAAGAGTCAGGGCAGTGGAGCGCGTATTTATAGACTTTAGATACAACGGTTGGTGTGATATGGGCGCGTGCGCGTGGTGAGTACGACACTGTCCAGCCTCCTACTCGCTACTCGCACCCTCGCTCCCTCTACCTAAGCGCCGTCGTATTGGTACCTATCTATACTCCCCCTTTCGCCCTCGTGCTCACTCCCCCTCTCTGCTCTCGCCTCTCGTTGGCTCGCATGAACGACGACAGGGAATCCGGTTCCGCGGGTTGACCATCCCAGACTGCCAGGAAAAGCTCCCTGGGTACACGGAGGGTGGCGAGCCCATGCCGGAGGCGCTGCTGTGGTTGCTGCTCACGGGAGAAGTCCCAACGAAAGCACAGGTGACACATGAAAAATGATACTGTAGTGTGCTCTTGTGTGAAAAGAGGCTAGTTCACCGCTGCCTCGGCCCCAGACAAGCTGCGGGAGCATGTCATGCCTCCTTAGTTTTGAGTCAAGCAACTTGTCTGGAGTAATGCATTTTTTTCTCGAGAGATCAGCGTGGAAGGTTGTCTGGATTCGAGCGAAGTTTGCTGTCGCTAGTCAAGCAGTCAGGCGCTTCACCGGGATGCTAGGCAGGTAACGCCCGGAGGCGGGCAGCGTCTTCTGTCTGCACTCGTTGATCAAGCCGAATGATTCACTATGGGAGTACAGTGTGTCTGCATGGCTTTGTATGCCGCCATAGAATTCCTCCAACGAGAGCTCCTCAGTGAGACCGCCATCGGCTTACCATCGGCAATTTTCCAATATTAGAGCCAGCCAATCACTGCGGGCGTACACAGGCCAACAAGGTATCACAGGACTAGTCCACCAGCCTGCGCGCAAGTATAGCGGACAAGCTAGTTGTTGATGGCTCCCACCCTTTCCTACCCCGCGTGCCTCTTCCTCGAGAAGAGGGTCAGGTGTGCCCTAAACACCTCACACGTACACACGCCAGAAAAATTGACCAGTACAACACCGAATCTGAGAGGCTTGGGTCTTGCATAATCCGAGGTTGGACATGGAGGACGAAGAGTGTAGAAGTTGATACGGGGGGCCTGTGAGTAGATACCCAATGAGCCGGAGAGACACGTAGTGTAGAGGGGGGAGAGGGGACGGCGGGGGGATTGGTACAAAAGTGCAGGCGCTGGATCTTGCACTGACAGAGGCATCGTTGGTACTACCACATCGCGCCCGGGTACTACATGCCAGCAATGGCACGCAACAGTATACATGCCACTTTTGTGTGTCTCCATCTAGGAGAGTGGAAGTTGGCGACGGAAATACCTCGTGCTGAACACCAGCGGTCTTGGGTCTCGCTGCGCGTAACGTTGTCTCCGCATGCGACTCCGTTCACCGCACAACATCGCGGCACGCACGGCAGGTCGACGAGCTAACCGCAGACCTCCACAAGCGCTCCGGCATCCCTAAGCACGTGGAGGAGATGATCCGGCAGTTCCCCAAGGACATGCACGCCATGAGCATGTTTGGCGCCGCTCTCTTCGCGTTGCAGGTCAGGCGGTCCTTTGGGTAGAGGTCTGTTGCGAGTTGCGGAGCGGTAGCAGTGGTAGCAGTGGGAGCACCGCTGTTGCTTCAGGATTGTTGTTTTCTTTTAAGGCAAGAGAGCGAGTCGAAGCCCCACCCCTCTCCTTGTAACCTTTTCGCCTGACATGCACTGCTTTCATTGTAGTCGCTGCCATCTCTGTTTTACTGGCCTCCCTTTTGCCTTTGTTGTCCTGCCTGCGTCGCCTCTTCCGTTTGTCTGATTTTTCACCGATTTGTTGTTTTCGGCCTTGCTCAGACGGAGAGCAAATTCGCGAAGGCGTACGCCAAGGGCGTGAGCAAGAAGGTCAGTGGACTCAGCAAACACCAGACGTTTCGTGCAGGTTCTCACTAGCGTGTCTCTTGGAGTCATCGGGTCTGCTGCTATGTGGAGAGCACGCCTCCTGGTGCTGCTGCGTCCCCCCCCCCCCCCCCNNNTGGCGGTCACGTGAGAACAGGCGATTAATCGTGAAGGCACTACCCACCCGGGCCGGCGACCTATCGCTGATTTTGGCTCATCTCTTACAAAAGTCAAACCCTGTCGCGTAAACTTGCGCTTTGAATGTAGCGGCGAAAGTGTACACGCCAGTTGCCAGGTGGCGCGCGCCCTTGGTGTAAGGGCTGCCTCCTGCTCGCAGGAAACGAGCTCTGCCTCTGTGCATGTTTTTTATTTTCTTGCATGTTTGCGCGGCGCGTGGGCCTGACTGAAACCTCGATACAACAAACTTGGGCAGGAGTACTGGGAGCACACCTACGAAGACGTCCTGGACGTGATCGCGAAGATGCCCGAGGTTGCCGCCCTTATCTACCGCTGCAAGTTCAAGGACGGCGTGGTGAAAAAGGACCTGAGCCTGGACTACACGGGTAACTACTGCTCCATGATGGGCTACAACGACAAGTCCTTCCAGGACCTCATGCGCCTCTACCTTGTCATCCACTCGGTGAGATTGGGCCTTACTTCCTCCACCTCTTGTTATCTTCGGAAGTTGTAGGCGCTTGACTCACCTGACATCGATATTTTGTTGGCTTTTCACGGACCGAAGACGTGTTTCGGAATTTTACCACGCCTGTGTATGTGCGGGAACTTGTTCATGAGAATTTTTCCTTCCAGGGGTTCTTGGGCGCCTTCCCCCCCCCGTTTCGCTTTGCGCGGGGGATAACGTTGTCATTCGTACCCGATGTACCTTTCCTTGCCTGTTTTGCTTTGTTGTTAGGATCACGAGGGCGGTAACGCCTCTGCTCACGCGACGCACCTGGTCGGCTCGACCTTGTCAGATGCATACATGTCGTACGCCGCAGGGATCGGGGCGTTGGCAGGGCCGTTGCACGGACTTGCTAACCAGGAAGTACTGGGATGGATCAAGGTGAGCTGCGTTCAGAAAGTTGAGTCTAGGACGAGAAGCAGCTGCGCTCTGTTGCTGAAACCCGCCATCAGCAACGAGAGCACTGGCGATTTCTACTTGCAACCGCGACCACAGGAACAATCGCAGCCACTTTGCACCTGAAATAGCTGGTAGGGGGGTTGTTTTTTTTTTCTTTGTTGTTATCACGTGTTTTATGTTTGCTTTGCCTTGTGCCGTTTTGGTGATGGACCCGCACGTATGTTTCCTTTCGAAACGGAGGGATGAATACAGCCGTGGCCTTTTGTTGGCTTTCCCAACTTAGTTGAGCTCAACCACCCAGCATCTTGATAAAAGCTTTTGTTTCCAGCGATTGCCCACCCTGTAGGCTAAAAAGGCAGCATGGCTGGCGTTTGAGGGGCGAGAAAGCTCGAGCATCTCGATGTGTCGTGGTTTGTACATTGTTCTTCTGATTTCCACCATCTCCGCTTTGACGCGTGTTGGTGATGCTGCTGCAGCTCAGCTTGAGGTAATACAGCACAAGGAAAATTGTTGGCGTTAAGGGTAGGGGTGTGCCGGGGAGACGCTCGGAGATTAGCGGCTCCGTTGGTAGAGTCACGGCAGGTTAAGCGAGTCTTTGGTTCTGTGTAATGCAACGGTTTCAGAATGACGGGTGGCATTCTCGCACGCGCAGGCACCCACACAGAAATATCCTGATGTATTGGTATATGTATTTGTATGATCACGCTTTATCCCGCGTTTTTTGTTTTTGCCACACACGATCAGGACCTGGAGGCGCACTTCAAGGCCAAGGGTAAGGAGGTTTCGCACGAGACCATCGAGGAGTTCGCGTGGGAGACCCTCAACAGCGGAAAGGTGCGTGCGCGTGCGTCTTTTGAAGGAGCACCCTTGAGTCTTAACACGTTGGAGAGGTCCATGGTGCGATCGGCTTTTTTGTCCTCGCGCGTCCTGTCCTTGATGATGTTTTGTGATAACGTTTCACCCAAAACTATTGCTCTCGGGGATGCATGTTTTTTCTTGCACATAACTTCAGGTTCGTCTCATACGGCACGCCGCCCGAAGGGCGTATAGACCTGTTTACGACGGTGCGCTCTGCCGGCGTTGCTACTGCTTCACTTTCGTTTTTGTTATGTATCTTCTTGCCTGAACCTCCCCCCCCCCCCCCC